TTCAGCCCTCTGAATAATACTTTTAGTAACTCCACACCTCCTCCTAATTTCCACACTATGAATTTTCTGCATAATATTTACACCACACATTGCCCTTAGACACGTCGTCTCCACTGCCTCCAGCCTCCCCTCCTTGCTGCTTCATATGGGTGTGAACCATGAGTTGTAACAACTCATGCTTCACACCCATACGAGTGTGTTGGTACCACTGTACTCTCCTACATTCCCTTCTTTGCCTCCATGGATAACATTTTTTTTTGTCTCCACGGATACCTCAGTGCATCACTTACCTTTTTCCTTCAACAATTCTATGATTAACCTTGTCCTTCATAAACCCATCTGCTGACAAGTCTATTCCCAAATATCTGAACAAATTCACTTCTTCCATACTCCCTCCCTCCAGTGTGATATCCAATTTTTCTTTACCTAACTTGTTCGATACCTTCATCACCTTACTCTTATCTATGTTCACTTTTGACTTTCTTCCTTTATGACACGTTGGCTGTCTTACACTGAGGGAGTGTAGATGTGTAGTGTGATCTAAGTGTAAGTAAAAGTATTAAGATGTACCTGTTATCTTGTGTGTTTGAGACAGGAAAAAAGACACCAGCACTCCTATCATCATGTAAAACAAATACAGGTTTCTGTCTTGCACTCATTTAGCAGGACATTAGTAACTCCCTGGGTGGTTGCTGTCTACCAAACACCCAGGGAGTTACTAATGTCCTGCCAAATGAGTGCAAGACAGAAACCTGTATTTGTTTTACATGATGGTAGGAGTGCTGGTGTCTTTTTTCCTGTCTCAAACACACAAGATAACAGGTATATCATAATACTTTTACTTAGACTTAGATCACACTACACATGCATATACACGTTTATGTATACACACTTCTTTGAGTTTTCATCTGAGTTTTCACATAAAACAAATACAGGTTTTTGTCTTACACTCATTAGGGAGGACAGTAGTACCTCTCTGGGAGGTTGCTGTCTGCCAGCCTCCTATAAAAAACCCTCCATTTACCCTACTTCACATGGGGTATTGATGGGACAGGATGCGTGGGTGATGGATAGTGCCTGTGTCCTGATCATCATTTCTGAGAGGAACTGGTTGGCATCAGCACACTACATTTACTCTAAGGAAACTTCCTCTCAGTCCACCTCTTAATGCTCTTGCAACATTGTATAGTTCCTGATGAATCATGGAGAAACATGAAAGATCTTCAGCTGAAAATTTCCATTCTACGTGGCTTGTCTTGCATATTCAGCCGGGTAGGGATCATCCTCAAAGAGGTTGGAGGGAGGTGGTAAAGGAGGTTTTGTGGGCAAGGGGCTTGGACTTCCAACAAGTGTGTTTGAGTTTGTTAGGTACGAGTGAATGGAGACAAGTGATTTTTGGGATCTGACAGGCTGTTGGAGTGTGAGCAGGGAAACCGGTGAGCTAGACTTGAGTCCTTGAAATGGGAAGTACAATGCCTGCACTTTAAAGGTGGGGGTTTGGGATATTGACAGTTTGGAGGGACATCTTAACTGTCATATTTGAGCACCTCTGCAAAGACAGTGATTATGTATGAGTGATGGTGAAAGTGTTGAATAATGATGAAAGTTTTTTTTTTTGGGGGGGGGGGTTCTTTTTTGGGTCACCCTGCCTTGGCAGGAAACAACCGATGTGTTAAAAAAAGAATGGAGAAGAAGGATGGACAAGGGGTGCGAACCACGGTCTGTAAATTGACTGGCTGTCACCCACTGAGGCAGGGTGACCTAAAAAGAAAACTAAAGTTTTTGTTTTTAAATTTAGTAATTTATACAGGAGAAGGGGTTACTAGCCTTTTGCTCCTGGCATTTTAGTCATCTTTTAAGACACACATGACTTGCAGAGGAAGAATTCTTTTCCACTTCCACATGGAGATAAGAGGAAATGAAGAACAAGAACTATTAAGAAAATAGAAGAAAACCTGGATGGGGTGTAAATGTATATGCATGTACATGCATGTGTAGTGTGACTTGAGTGTAAGTATAAGTAGCAAGATATACCTGTTATCTTACTTGTTTGAGACAAAAGAGACACCGTATAAATGGATATAAATACACCTACCATCCGACTTACGACCGAGTTCGGTTCCGAGAAACTGGTCATAAGTCGAAATGGTCGTAAGTCGAGCAGGTCGTAAGTCGGATGGTAGGTGTATATATAATTTAATTTATTTTTTATTTACGTATGTGTATGTGTACAAAATATTTATAACCTTGTTGCTTGTGTCTTAAATATATGTTTAAAAAAATTAGATTTTTTGTCATAAAGCTTAATACTTCCTTTGGTATGAACACCTTTTTTTCTGTAGTAAAAGTAATGTGTGTGTGCACGTAGAATTGTTTCTTAAAACACTGATTCTTAATCATCATATCTTTAGGTACGTTATTAAAATCCATTAGTGATGCTTCTATTACTGAAAAAGTGTGATTGTTTAAACAATCTGAATCAGTTTACACTCTCGGTATATGAAAAAGTCTCTTGGCATGTATAAATCAATTTTTTAAAATATTGCATGAAGGCATATTGAAGGCTGACATGTATGGGAACAATATGACAATTGTCAAATAGTATTTCTGAATAGAAAGTTAAAGTACTGAATATGGTAACATCAGCTTGAGCTTACCAGCTGAAGGTATTACTTTCAGACTGAACACAGCTGTGCTTTATTTCTTGAAGGAAGATGTTCCAAAATTAATATGTTTAATAAAGGTGAAGATACCGATTAGTTCTTTGGATACAAGCTAGCCAGAATGGAGATAATTATCTGGTGACAGGCTTTCTTCAGTAAAGATTGAGGATATTGTGTTACCTGGTATAATACAGTGGACCCCCGCATACCGTTGGCCTTACATAACGTTAAATCCGCATACCGCTACATTTTATCGCTAAGATTTTGCCTCGCATACCGCTAAAAAGCCCGCTCAATGCTGTTCGTCCGAGACGTGTCTATGTGCGGCCTGGGCCACACTCACATGTTCCGCCGGTGGCATTGTTTACCAGCCAGCCTCCGCGGTAACATCCAAGCATACAATCGGAACATTTCGTATTATTACAGTGTTTTTGGTGATTTTATCTGCAAAATAAGTGACCATGGGCCCCAAGAAAGCTTCTAGTGCCAACCCTACAGCAATAAGGGTGAGAATTACTATAGAGATGAAGAAAAAGATCATTGATAAGTATGAAAGTGGAGTGCGTGTCTCCGAGCTGGCCAGGTTGTATAATAAACCCCAATCAACCATCGCTACTATTGGTGGTACAGCTGCTGCTGCTGCTGTACCACCGTCAGCTGCTCCTACTGCTGCTGCACTGTCAGCTGCTGCTGCTGCTGTAGCACCGTCAGCTGCTGCTGCTGTTGTACCACCGTCAGCTGCTGCTGCTGTTGTACCACCGTCAGCTGCTGCTGCTTGTAGTACCGTCTGCTGCTGCTGTAGCATCGTCTGCTGCTGCTGTAGCATCGTCTGCTGCTGCTGTAGCATCGTCTGCTGCTGCTGTAGCACTGTCAGCTGCTGCTGCTGCTGTACCACCGTCAGCTGCTGCTGTAGTACCGTCTGCTGCTGCTGTAGCACCGTCTGCTGCTGCTGTAGCACCGTCAGCTGCTGCTGCTGCTGTAGTACCGTCTGCTGCTGCTGTAGCATCGTCTGCTGCTGCTGTACCACCGTCAGCTGCTGCTGCTGCTGTACCACCGTCAGCTGCTGCTGCTGCTGTAGTACCGTCTGCTGCTGCTGTAGCCTCGTCTGCTGCTGCTGTAGCACTGTCAGCTGCTGCTGCTGCTGCTGCTGTAGCACAGTTGTTGGTGTGGCTTATTGAGAATACCAAGAAACAATTAACCCCAGAGGATTTGCCACCCAGGATAACCCAAAAAAGTCAGTGTCATCGAAGACTGTCTAACTTATTTCCATTGGGGTCCTTAATCTTGTCTCCCAGGATGCAACCCACACCAGTCGACTAACACCCAGGTGAACAGGGAAAAATGCCTGGAACTAGTGCTCATATTGGTGAATTTAAAGCCAGCAAAGGTTGGTTTGAGAGATTTAAGAATCGTAGTGGCATACACAGTGTGATAAGGCCTGTTCTGGAAGAAAATGCCAAACAGGACCTACAGTACTCAGGAGGAAAAGGCACTCCCAGGACACAGTGTCTCATCAGTCATTGCTGCATCTTCAATAAAGGTGTCATTTATTCTTCATTTAGTAGAGTAGTACATGCACAATAAATATTGTGCATGTACTACTCTACTATTGTGCATGTATCCTTCTCTTTGTGTGTAGGAAAATGTATATTTCATGTGGTAAAAATTTTTTTTCATACTTTTGGGTGTCTTGCACGGATTAATTTGATTTCCATTATTTCTCATGGGGAAAATTCATTCGCATAACGATAATTTCGCATAACAATGAGCTCTCTTGCACGGATTAATATCGCTATGCGGGGGTCCACTGTATTGTGAAATACGATCTTTCAACTTTGGGTTCAAAAGTAATGGCATTTATGTATTATGTTTTTATTTCTCTTGTATTGGAGCATAATATTTGCTCACTTTATCATTGATAAAAGAGAAAAATAAAAGATAAACAATATTTAATTTTGCTTTATTTATTGCACAGTTATTTGTTATTGATTAGTAAAATTGTAAGAATGATAAATGAGATAATACCATATAATACCCAAAAATTATCATAATAGTAAAATTTACTAAACGTATTTGTATGATATTTTATGAAATTTCTCAGTTTGAAAATTTGCCCATATTCTCTTGTTGCACAATTCCAGTTTGAATCTAGGCTTTTCTATTAACTGCCCCAGTTTAAATTTCTTGTTACAGATTAATTCTCATTTATTTTAACTTGCCATGTAAATGTTTTGTGTATGACTAGTAATCCCTGGCTTTACTAAATGTCCAGCTCCTCTGTTCTGATGTTGGTTAATCCTTGTGTGTGTGCATGACTGTAACTTTGTGCTGGTGTAGGGATGACCTCAAAGTGTCAGAGAAGACGATGGAGGTGGCCACTACAGCGAACACTACCAGCTCCAGTACCCTCACCAGTAATAATGCTATGGTGAAGCAGGAGAGCAGTAGTGTCACTGTTGTCAAATCTACCACCATCACCTCCATGTCCTCATCATCTCCAGGTATGTCATTATTTAAAGGGAAATAATCCAGGTCTCTTATTAATTTTACCTCCTGTCCCACAAAAAAGGGGATAAATAAAGCATGTAGTTGTCCTTAGTAAATTTCAAATTTTTTATCTTTATTAGAATTACATTAAATAGTACTTGTATTCTAAGCACTTCTTTGAATGAAACCCATAATTCCATGCACTCCCATTCTTTCCCACAAAATGCTCTCATTGCACATGGCCCATAACAATTTTTATTGAATATCCTCCTTTGAGACCCTTTCAGTTGCTAATCTGTTAAATCTGTAAATTTTTTCTGTAATTTGTTGCCCTCTACCTTGTACTCTCTACAAAATAAATGTATACCTTCACAGTTCTTGTTAACTCTTGTGTCATGCCGAATAAAACACTGATGTGAGAATGTGAGCATACAGCTTGTAATACCATTATGAATCTGTTAGCCTTTTAATATTTTTACATTAGTTGAATCTTAATCCAAACTTGTGATGGCCAGAAGATTTCTCTTAATTCCATTAGTAAAAGACATAATACATAGTAAATAAAGGAAATATTTTTTTTTTTTTTCAACAAGTCGGCCGTCTCCCACTGAGGCAGGGTGACCCAAAAAAGAAAGAAAATCCCCAAAAAGAAAATACTTTCATCATCATTCAACACTTTCACCTCACTCACACATAATCACTGTTTTTGCAGAGGTGCTCAGAACACAACAGCTTAGAAGCATATACCTATAAAGATACACAACATATCCCTCCAAACTGCTAATATCCCGAACCCCTCCTTTAGAGTGCAGGCATTGTACTTCCTATTTCCAGGACTCAAGTCTGGCTATATAAAAATAACCGGTTTCCCTGAATCCCTTCACTAAATATTACCCTGCTCACACTCCAACAGATCATCAGGTCCCAAGTACCATTTGTCTCCATTCACTCCTATCTAACACGCTCATGCATACTTGCTGGAAGTCCAAACCCCTCGCCTACAAAACCTCCTTTACCCCCTCCCTCCAACCATTTCGAGGACGACCTCTACCCAGCCTTCCTTCCCCTACAGATTTATACGCTCTCCATGTCATTCTACTTTGATCCACTCTCTCTAAGTGACCAAACCACCTTAACAACCCCTCTTCAGCCTTCTGACTAATACTTTTATTAACTCCACACCTTCTCCTAATTTCCACACTCCGAATTTTCTGCATAATATTTACACCACACATTGCCCTTAGACAGGACATCTCCACTGCCTCCAACCGCCTCCTCGCTTCTGCATTCACAACCCAAGCTTCACACCCATATAAGAGTGTTGGTACTACTATACTTTCATACATTCCCTTCTTTGCCTCCATAGATAACGTTTTTTGTCTCCACATATACCTCAACGCACCACTCACCTTTTTTCTCTCATCAATTCTATGATTAACCTCATCCTTCATAAATCCATCTGCCGACACGTCAACTCCCAAGTATCTGAAAACATTCACTTCTTCCATACTCCTCCTTCCCAATTTGATATCCAATTTTTCTTTATCTAAATCATTTGATACCCTCATCACCTTACTCTTTTCTATGTTCACTTTCAACTTTCTATCTTTACACGCACTCCCAAACTCATTCCACTAACCTTTGCAATTTTTCTTTAGAATCTCCCTTGAGCACAGTATCATCAGCAAAAAAAACTGTGTCAATTCCCAATTTGTATTTGATTCCCCATAATTTAATCCCACCCCTCTCCCAAACACCCTAGCATTTACTTCTTTTACAACCCCATCTATAAATATATTAAACAACCATGGTGACATTACACATCCCTGTCTAAGACCTACTTTACCGGGAAGTAGTCTCCCTCTCTTCTACACGCCTTAACCTGAGCCTCGCTATCCTCATAAAAACTCTTTACAGCATTTAGTAACTTACCACCTATTCCATATACTTGCAACATCTGCCACATTGCTCCCCTATCCACTCTATCATATGCCTTTTCTAAATCCATAAATGCAATAAAAACTTCCCTACCTTTATCTAAATACTGTTCACATATATGCCTCAATGTAAACACTTGATCTACACATCCCCTGCCCACTCTGAAACCTCCTTGCTCATCCGCAATCTTACGTTCTGTCTTACCTCTAATTCTTTCAATTATAACCCTACCGTACAGTTTTCCTGTTATACTCAGTAAACTTATTCCTCAATAATTTTTACAATCTCTTTTGTCCCCCTTCCCTTTATATAAAGGGACTATATGTGCTCTCTGCCAATCCCTAGGTACCTTCCCCTCTTTCATACATTTATTAAACAAAAATACCAACCACTCCAACACTATATCCCCCCCTGCTTTTATTATTATTATTTTATTATTATTAATTTAGGGAACTAGAGCACATATCCAATTGCCTAGATCAAGAGACCCTCACCAGCATCAATAAACAGTGCAGACATTCCTGGCACTAAAATAACATTTCTTCTTCATTATTCATGTCTCCAGGCCCCTCTTATAATAATTATGCATGCTTTCCATTTTGAATTTTTATTCACAAAAAAAAAAAAATAGATTTACTGTTATGCAGACTACTGCATTATTGAAATAATTGTATAAATAATGTCAACCCATTCGTGACTGCATATTAGACTGACCAGTTGGACACATTTGTTTACTCTTGAACATCTGTAAAAATCGAACATTTCCGCTACCTTGAGCTCTATTTCAAGGTACTTTCCCTCATGAAACCAATCAAAATCATATCTATTTCTGTAATATTGCTTCCATTCTATCAAGCGAGACCAAAAAAAAAAATACAACCATAATAACCATAAGAACATACACTGCAAAGTCGCTGTTTTACACCAAAAACAGTCGCAGTTTTATAAGAACATAAGAAAGGAGGAACACTGCAGCAGGCCTGTTGGCCCATACTAGGCAGGTCCTTTACAATTCATCCCACTAACAAAACATTTGCCCAACCCAATTTTCAATGCTACCCAAGAAATAAGCTCTGATATGCAAGTCCCACTCAAATCCAACCCCTCTCACTTATGTATTTATCCAACCTAAATTTGAAACTGCCCAAAGTCCTAGCCTCAATAACCCATCTAGGTAGACTGTTCCACTCATCAACTACCCTATTTCCAAACCAATACTTTCCTATGTCCTTTCTAAATCTAAACTTGTCTAATTTAAATCCATTACTGCGGGTTCTCTCTTGGAGAGACATCCTCAAGACCTTATTTATATCCCCTTTATTAATACCCATCTTCCACTTATACACTTTGATCATGTCTCCCCTCATTCTTCTTCTAACAAGTGAATGTAATTTAAGAGTCTTCAATCTTTCTTCATAAGGAAGATTTCTAATGCTATGTATTAATTTAGTCATCCTACGCTGAATGTTTTCAAACGAATTTATGTCCATTCTGTAATATGGAGACCAGAACTGAGCTGCATAATCTAGGTGAGGCCTTACTAATGATGTATAAAGCTGCAGTATAACCTCTGGACTTTTGTTGCTTACACTTCTTGATATAAATCCCAGTAATCTATTTGCCTTTTATTATGTGCTGTGTGCTGCAGGATTTTTTTTTATATATTGCACACTTACCACACAGACCTATTCTCTCATATGTAGGCCCAAATTTACCGGTCACAGCTTATCTGGGTGAGCTGAGCTCATGGTGACCAACAGTGGCTTCAATGCCAATTTATCTTTTATGGATGATGTACAGTGTATGTGCTTTACATGAGAAGCATTTCTTTTATTCGTTGGAACCGTGTCTAGGGCTAAAAGTGAGCAGGTTATATCAATAAATGGAGAAAAAGAAACTGGAATGACTTATGCAGCAAGCAGTGCCACCAAACGGTAGCAGCAGGTTGGTGTGGCAACCCTGGAAATTTGAAATTATGCTAGCCAAAATTGGTGCCAGATTACTAATGGAACCAGATCACTGATTGCCAGATTAGTGATGGCCAACCTGTATAGGTGATTTCAAGAAGCTCGCTCCTGTCTGTCTCAACTATTGGATCACTACGACAAGGTCCTAGATGCACTAGAAGACAAAAAGAATGCAGATGTAATATATACAGACTTTGCAAAAGCCTTCGACGAGTGTGACCATGGCGTAATAGCGCACAAAATGCATGCTAAAGGAATAACAGGAAAAGTTGGTAGATGGATTTATAATTTCCTCACAAACAGAACACAAAGAGTAGTAGTCAACAGAGTAAAGTCCAAGGTGGCTACGGTGAAAAGCTCTGTTCCACAAGGCACAGTACTTGCTTCCATCTTGTTTCTCATCCTCATATCTGACATAGACAAGGATGTCAGCCACAGCACCGTGTCTTCCTTTGCAGATGACACCCAAATCTGCATAACAGTGTCTTCCATTGCAGACACTGCAAGGCTCCAGGTGGACATCAACCAAATCTTTCAATGGGCTGCAGAAAACAATATGAAGTTCAACGATGAGAAATTTCAATTACTCCGATATGGTAAACACGAGGAAATTAAAACTTCATCAGAGTACAAAACAAATTCCAGCCACAAAATAGAGCGAAAAACCAACGTCAAAGACTTGGGAGTGGTCATGTCGGAGGATCTCACCTTCAAGGACCATAACATTGTATCAATTGCAGCTGCTAGAATAATGACAGGATGGATAATGAGAACCTTCAAAACTAGGGATGCCAAGCCCATGATGACATATCAATTGCAGCTGCTAGAAAAATGACAGGATGGATAATGAGAACCTTCAAAACTAGGGATGCCAAGCCCATGATGACACTCTTCAGGTCACTTGTTCTATCTAGGCTGGAATATTGCTGCACACTAACAGCACCTTTCAAGGCAGGTGAAATTGCTGACCTAGAAAATGTACAGAGAACCTTCACGGCCCACATAACGGAGATAAAACACCTCAATTACTGGGAGCGCTTGAAGTTCCTGAACCTGTATTCCCTGGAATGCAGTCGGGAGAGATACATGATTATGTACACCTGGAAAATCCTAGAGGGACTAGTACCGAACTTGCACACGAAAATCACTCGCAACAAAAGCAAAAGACTTGGCAGACGATGCAACATCCCCCCAATGAAAAGCAGGGGTGTCACTAGCACGTTAAGAGACCATACAATAAGTGTCAGGGGCCCGAGACTGTTCAACTGCCTCCCAGCATACATACGGGGGATTACCAATAGACCCCTGACAGTCTTCAAGCAGGCACTGGACAAGCATCTAAAGTCGGTACCTGACCAGCTGGGCTGTGGCTCGTACATTGGATTGCGTGCAGCCAGCAGTAACAGCCTGGTTGATCAGGCTCTGATCCACCAGGAGGCCTGGTCACAGACCGGGCCGCGGGGGCGTTGACCCCCGGAACTCTCTCCAGGTAAACACCCTGTCCCTCTTACATTATATGGACAGTGGTACCCTGAGTTTCGATCAGCTCCCAACTTGACCAATTATGAAAGTGTATTATTGTAAGTGCTTTTGTGAGTGTATTTTTGGGGGTCTGAAACGGACTAATCTAATTTACATTATTCCTTATGGGAACAAATTCATTTGGTAATGGCACTCGAACAGCCTTCTAGAACGAAGAAAGTTCAAAACTCGGGGTATCACTGTACTTGGAATGGGTTATAGTTTTCTTTAGTTAATTTTATTTGATATACTTTCCATTCTTTATTTTAACTATGATAATGTAATCATGACAAACATATAGCCAAGTTGGAGAGAAATATATGGTAAGTTCAACTAGCAAGGAGTGAGGTAGCATACTGAAGATTTTTACATGTAATATTTTTCCACAGGGTATAAATATACTTTGCTTGGTGTGCAGTATTGTATAATATTTACAAAAAATATACAGTGGACCCCTGCTTAACGATCACCTCCCATTGCGACCAATTATGTAAGTGTATTTATGTAGGTGTGTTTGTACGTGTATGTTTGGGGGTCTGAAATGGACTAATCTACTTCACGATATTCCTTATGGGAACAAATTCGGTCAGTACTGGCACCTGAACATACTTCTGGAATGAAAAATCGTTAACCGGGGGTCCACTGTACTTCTCAAAAGTACTTTTGTGTAACTTTATGTTCTGCTTTATGCCATTATTCAATGTATTATTCGCAGTGCTTACCAGATGTCTTTGAAATTCATTTCCATCTACCTGAGTATAATGCATTTGTGTAATTACCTGTTTGTAGAGAAAGAATTAAAGCTGTTTGTGGTGCCCTGTCTCTTTTTGATTACCTTAGCATAATTTTTTTTTTCCAGTGGTTATGGCACACATTAAATCTGCTTATGTATTCCCTCTGTGTATGTACAGTATTCACAGATAGGCTGTATAATTACTTACATAAGTAACCCACGCATAGGAAACTGAAACTTACAACAATGTTTCAGTCTGACTTGGACCATTAACTAATCACACAAAATTACGAAGGGAAGGGAGCCAGAAAATGTAGGGGGGGGGGCAGGAGTAGTATGACTTGGTTATAATTAGTCAAACCCCTAAATTTGCGAGGGTTATATTCTTAGAAGTCTTGTGAATCTGGAATTTGCAAATAATAAATAAAAATGGGAGGTGGCGTATGTTAAAAAAAAATTCAGATTTACTCTTTTGGTATTTGAGAGGGTATCTTTAAGTGTTGCTCTAATCTGAGTGACAGTGACATTCATAAGAGTATTATAAAAGAAAGAAATTTAGGCATGGGAAAATCATTGAGAACATTTTGAATAAAATTCAACATAGCTTTCAATTTGTGAGTTTTGCACCAAGTTTAAAATAAAAGACCCTGCCAGAAAAAAAAAAAACTTGAATAATCGAAGCTATTATTAGATATGTTAGTAAAAATTTTGTAAAATCAAATCATTTGAATTTTGAGGTTCAACTGTACCAATTTGTAGTTACAGGAAGAAAGCTAAACTTGTGATGACTAATCTTCAGCATTTAATGTATTATATATTTTGAAATTTCTAGTGGCTGTACCATTTATTTCATCTTGTAACCCATTTTATTGTTCCACCACTGTGTGAAGAACAACTTCATGTTACCCTTTTGGCTCCTCATAATTTATACTTTTAGCTTACTTTTCTTGTTCATGGCATTAGGAAACCTTCCTTATCATTTGTTTTGTATCCTTTTATCATCTATATACTTGTCATGTCTCCTCTTTCTCTCTTCCTATCATCCAATGAGAACATGTCTAATGCTCTTAGCCTTTCTTCATGATGAATTTTTTATATTTTGCTCGGACTGCCATTTTGTAGCTCGTCTTTGGAGTTTCTAGCTTGTACTCGTTCTTTTTTCAGGCGCAGACACCAAACTACCACTGTATATTCCAATTTTAGTCCATTATATTTTGCAAACATCTTTTTATAGGATTTCACTATGCACATACCTAAGGGTTATTGTAGATGGGTTGGCCAGTGCTGTACAGGGGTTTTTGGAGATTTAAGTTTTATGATCTACCCACAATATTTTGTAAATAATGACTTCTATGTCTCTTTCTGGGATAGTAGTTTTAATATTTTATCACAATCTGTATCTTTTTATTACTTTCTTCCATTTCTGTTACATGGCACTTATCCACATTAAAATCCATCATCCATCTATCACCCCACTTGCTAAGCTAAGTCTATCCAGATCTTTCCTCAGGAATGCCCGTGTGTACACACTTGTGCTCTAATGCTTGCATATGTATGTCTGCAGACATAAATTTGTAATTACACATGGTGATCATGAATTCTGTGCAAGACCTACAGCCTTTTGTACAGGTATTATGTTAAATTTCAAATAATGGGTGTTTTCAGGAGCAATTAACTTTGTCAAAATATGACTCTAATATATTATACAGTATAAAGTATTTGCTTTTGAATGAATGTTGAAAGCTAAAATGAACCTAGAATGGCTCTGTCTATCAATCAGGAAGACTGACCTTAGGCAAGGCTGCAGTGGTAGAAAAACACTGTGAAACTTGTTACACATATCTGTTGCATACTACTGTATATCATGCTCTTAAATGTCATAAAGATAGATTTATCAATTATTCTTCATCTTTTATAATATACAATACTGCTATATATTTTTTTTTATAGATAGGATACTGTTTATGTAGAAATTAGGCTCAGTTCTTATACAAAAGTACACATCATCACTTTTTCAAATGCAATGAAGACATATTAAGACTACAAAACTAGTTTCAGTGCTTATGACATTTATTTAACCCTCTCACTTGTGATCCCTGACATTAAAAGTGCTGACAATGTCATGATTTAAAAAAAAAAATCGAAAATGGTAGAGAATCTTTTTCTGAAGATAATGACATTGAAAATAAATTTCTTTATGGAAAACTTATGAAATTGTGCAGGTGCCGAGTTGGCAGTCTAGGCGAAAATTTATGCATCAGTGATTTTGCTTGCTTTTAGTCTTATTTTATACTAATTTGACCCAGTTACCAGCTATTTCACTTGTATATCTTCCATTGTATCAGTTGAGTGCAAAAAATTACCTATTCAACTATCAGAACTACCAGAGGTTGGTAATTTAGCTAATTTTGCACAATTCATCAAATTCCAGTTTGAAAACTGAGTTCAGAATAAACACTATAGGCATTCCAGCTACTAAAGCAATGTTCTCTCTATTCATTAATTGTCACCAGGTCTCTCATATATAACACCTACCCTCTATTTTGAATCCATCATCAGACAAAAAAAAATAAAATTTTACCTTATTTCTCAGATAATGAGTATAACCAAGAATGATTAGTTATAGTAAATTTAGGCCTTCCCAATAATTAAAGCAAATCTAGTAAACCCCATAAAACAGACTTTAACCCTTCCTCAAGAAAATTGCCAAAAATTTAATGTTTCCATCATTTTGAGCCCTATTTCAAGATAAAACCAACCAGAATCAGTATTTCATTAATGTGTCTTCCATTCTCTCAATTGATACTAGGAAATAGCCAATGAAACCATAAAAATCACCCTAGAAAAGACCTGAAAGTTGCTATTTTAAACCAAACACTAGGTCAGAAGTTTGCTTTTCCCATCATGCACTGTGGGGGCAGTTTTTTTTTTTTTAATACAGTACATACCCGCCGCTCAGGCTCATTCTCTCATGTCTAGGATGCACATTTGAGGATGCTGTGTTTAAAACATAGATCTCCACACTTGACACTGACATCAGTAACATAGATCTACATGGGAGACAGTGAAAGTTCTAAGATTTCTTCTTGTGACTTATTCAGAATAAATAGTTTCATAATACATTACAACATAGGTAATGATTTAAAGGAGTAATCAAGGATCGAAGCCATGGTCTGGCAGTCCTGAGATGATTCATTCATTACAAATTATTCAGCATAACAAATGAAGCTTAAAAGTCCAGAATGCCTTTTTGCCATGATACGAATGAAAAAATATGAATTGAAGCTTAATATATAGAAAAGGTTCTAGGAAACACTATTGATATAAAAAATGAGGGAAGATGGCAAAAGTACAGACGTACTGGGTATTAATGTACTGTGTTAGCAAATGAAATAGTTTGTCATAGCCAGTATAAATTAGCAGTAAGTGTGAAGCTATAAAACTAGTAAATGGTTTTAAATGCTTTTGCCTTTTATTATCTGTTGGTTTAGTTTGAATATCTAGATGGCAGTGTCAGAGTATCCATGTTAGTAAATCGTTGCTAGTAATGAGAGTATGGTAGGTCAAGGTATGTATGTAGCCAGTTTTATTGTATAATGTAAAGTTTAATTTTCATTGGCTTGTTTTGCTGTAAACAGCCTACTATGTACTCTGCTCTATGAAAATGTTTATTATTTGTGATAGTTTTGTATACAGCAATATTATAGTTATTTTAAAAGTGCATTTTTGTAGATTTAGTTATTACTATTAGTTTTAAATTTGTTGTGAACCTTATTACTAAGCTAGACATCACCTTCTCTAGAGTCGTCATCCGTTCAAGTAGTTGAGACATCTACAACTGAAGTGAACCACAGCACAGTAAACGGAACTGAGGTTTGAACTTTAAAAATACTTGTTTTGACTGTTTTTAACATAAATGGATGTTGGTTTAAATGCTTGTTTTCACTGTTACTGACAAAAATGGATATTTGTTTAAATGCTTGCTTTCACCGTTTCTGACATGGATGTTTGTTTACACAGTTTTGTGTGTGCGCATGTGTGTGGGTGTGTGCGTGTGTGCATGTGCGTGTGTGTGCTTGCGCATGTATGCATGCATGCCAGTTTCTATGTATGTCAATAATTATATGTAGTATTTGCATATGCATTCGTTTTTCCTTGCTTTTGCATATAGAAAATTTTCTAGTTTTAACAATGGTGGTAGCTTCATGTTGAGCCATTTAAGGCTTACATAATTTTCTATCCATGCACATAGAGGAAAATATATTATGTCCAGTGTTTTAGAAAACTACAGTTTCTGATATCCAATTCCCCTTACTTTTAGCAGTTACATTATCAAACTGATACATCCCAGAGTAAGGATCAAAATACTCAGCTGGTACACTGAAACAGCATGGGTTGCTGGCATGCTAAACTAAGTGGAGTACAGGAGTAGTTTTGTTTAAGTGTATCTTATTATTGCAGTACTATTTGGTAGTAGTGAATTTTGCTAAAAAAAAATCGGTTTATTAAAATTACTGTTAAAGTAGAACAAGTCACAATATAATGGGTAGAACAATTCACAATAACCCAAGCTGATGTAGAAACTTTAGATTACTTTCTGGTCCATCCTGGACCATTACCAAGTCACAACAGTTGATTTAATAATGGTCAAGGATGGACAGTGGACTCTTGTATAAAATTTGAATATTCCTGAATAAACATTATGTTAGAGAAACACATGACATTCATATTGTACAACTAAATAATTGTAAGGTTTCAAGACTGTCATGTATTTTTTTTTTTTTTAACTGGCAACTTTTCGTCCTCATAGAAATCGGAGAGGAAAATGTTGGTGGGCTGAGGTGTAAGAGTATAATTTGAAAGTACAGTGGAGCCCTACTTAACATCTTAGACAGTGAACAGAGAAAAGGTTCATTAAGTAAAAAATATGTCAAGCGAATCAAATTCTGACATGAAAACCTGCTGTAACTTGAAATGGGGACTATGATGATGATACATGTATTCCATATCTGAGACCTAATTTTTTATTACATCTTTTTACCAGAAAATATTTTCATTATGTACATGTCTTAATCCAGGAGTTGCTCGCACTCGAAAAATCTGTTTTACAGCTTTTAGTGACTTTATAATACCACATTTTCCATGCATGTGCAACACAAGTCAAATCACATTTTTATGCAATCTGCACAGTGCCTTTTCCAAGTCCGTATAAGCATAAATAGTTCGTATCCAATACCTAGCAGTAAAATTATGTACACTGACCCTTTCAGTGGCCGTCACACAGAACTATGCCATTGAGGCCAGGGTCCCTCACTTAGTTCTACATCATGAGCTCAGCTCAGCTCATAAGCTGTGAGTGGTAAATTTTAGCCTAGATATGAGATAATGGGTCTGTGCTGTAAGTGCACAGTATAAAAAATCCTGCCCCGGTTGGTGCATGATTGAAGAAACAAAACAGACCATATGGATGGTTTAAAATAGCAAATTTGAGATGTTTTCTTGGATGGATTTTATGGTTTTATTGGCTGCTGCTTTGTATCATTTAATAGAATGGAAAACATACTACTGAAATTGAGATGATTTTGATTGGTTTCAAGAGCAGAAGCAGCTTGAAAATTAGCTCAAAGTAGCAGAAATATTTGACTTTTACTGATATTCCTGAGAGTGGGTAAGGCCTCCCTACACCTCAGTCTGTTTTATGTTCTTTTTTATTTTATTTTTTTTTTTATCACACCGGCCGATTCCCACCAAGGCAGGGTGGCCCGAAAAAGAAAAACTTTCACCATCATTCACTCCATCACTGTCTTGCCAGAAGGGTGCTTTACACTACAGTTTTTAAACTGCAACATTAACACCCCTCCTTATGTTCTTTTATAGGGTCTAATTCAATTATTGAGACACTATAAACCATAACCAATCATTCCTGTTATTTTTTTTTAATGCACTGGCCATCTCCCACTGAGGCAGGGTGACCCAAAAAGAAAAACAAAAGTTTTTCTTTTTTGCATTTAGTAATTTATGCTCCTAGCATTTTAATTGCCTCTTACGACACAAGTGGCTTATGAAGGAAATTCTTTTCCACTTTCCCATGGAAGTGAAAATATACAGTATTATTGTGTACATTACTGTATGGTAATTAGGAATGGATAAAAAAAAAAAAAAGGGCAGTTACATATGTAGTTGATTAGTAGAGTAGGTTACTTGCCATAAATGCTTGGGAATTGAGATTCATTCCTGGTTATATTTTATTATTATTCTACCTCATACCATTGTCCAGCAGAATTTCCAGACATGTGGTGATGATATTCTGGAACAGCTTGAGCTCCAAGACTTCCCAATCCTCAAAGTAGACACTTATGTCCTCCCTGCCTGCAGGCAGAGACAATACCCTTGCAGTGTAGCTCGCTTAACTTTTGACTGCCATGAGCTTCCATCCTCAGTTTATATTGTGGGACACTGTTTACAGGTTCAAAAGGTGATCCCTACACTACAACAGTGTAGAAATTGCTGGCATTTTGGTCATCCAGTGAAATATTGCCTAGTCTGTGGTGCCAACGACCATACCAATACATCTTGTAGTCTACCTCCCTCTTGCCTTAATTGTCATGAGGCTCACCCATCTTACTCTTGCCATTGCCAAGTTTACTTAAATGAGCGAGAAATTAATTTTCTCAAAGACATAGAAGGCTTTCCTTATGTTATGGCAGTTTCTCATCTGCACCTCCAGGGGAGACTTCCCTGTACATATTTCTTATTCCTGAGTTACTAAATGACCCCCCCCACCTCTGGGGCCCTAGCTTCTGCAGCCTCTTCTGTGGTCACCCCTTCCACAGTCACCCCTGTCTCTAATTCTTTTGCTGCCCTGGACTCAGAGGTTTCTACCTCAACACCTCATTCTGTTCTCACCTCTTCCTCTTCTCACGCACAAGTTTGTGTCTACAAGACTTCGTACAACAACTCCTCCCCATCGCCCCTCTACTTCTCTGAAGTCCAAAAAATCCCTATTGTTAAAATCTCTCTTAACCCTGCCTTCCCTTCTTCTACCTGCACATTTTTCCTTTCCAGTCTCTGTACCTGGTTCTTCACCACTAACTGGCTCTGTTACGAGTGTGGAGGGTCATCCTCCTCCTTGTACAGTACCTTCCTCTCTTGTCCCCTCCCAAGTTTCTTCCTCTTCTGCTCCCTCCCAGGTCACTTCCTCTTCTGTCCCCTCCCAAGCTGCTTCTCCAGTCCCCTCCCAAGTTTCCTCCTCTTCTGCCCCCTCCCAGGTCACTTCCTCTTCTGTCCCCTCCCAAGCTTCTTCTCCAGTCCCCTCCCAAGCTTCTTCTCCAGTCCCCTCCCAAGCTTCTTCTCCAGTTCACTCTACCCTTTCGTCCCCCCGTACTTTGGTACATTCCATCGTCACCTTGATCTTTACTTGCCCTCCTCCTTCCAGCTCCAATATCGTCCCACATACAATGCCCTTGTCTCTGAAACATTTGAAGCTATCTCCAAATATAATGAGGAGTCTAGACCATTGATGGACACCAATCCACCTCCTGATCTTCCTCTTTACTCTTCACCATCTTCACAACTTTATTCACAGTGTCCCAATCCTTCGCTGCTTGTGTGTTTTCCGCTGCCTCCACATGTGGGCTTTTCTAACCCTTCTAGTCCATAGATACCTCTGCCTTCAGATTTCTTGCATCTTTCTCTTCGCAAATCATGGCTTATTTATAGTGGAATATCCATGGCCTTAGAGGTAACCGGAGTGAGCTTCAGGTGTTGCTCTCCCAGATTTTCCTTGTTTGTGTTTGTTTACAAGAACCCAAATTATGCTCCGCTGTTATCCATCCCATCTCGGGCTATGTTTTATTATAGTCATCTGATCCTTTTCCCGATGGAAGCTTTAATGAAAGTGCACTTCTTATATGCACTGGTATTCCATGGTATAAACCTTGGTAATAAATACCGACAAGTTGGTTTAGAAAGACACGTAAGCAAACACTATGACATACATGTATTTATTAGAAAACGTTTCGGTCCTGGGACCTTGATCACTTACAACATACAGAGGTAGAAAGACATTATATATATAGGCGGAGAGTGAGGTGTGAGTGACGCACGGTGACCTGAAGAATGTCATGTTGGGATGAGGACGGGGAGATGATGAAATCATGCGACTCCTGTGCTGTTGGGTTGGTGGTGCTTAAGTATCATGTATGCCAATGTTTTTGAAATTTTGTAGTTTCCAGTGTTATGTTCTATAGTGTCGGTGACAGCGATTAGTGAGGCTTCTAGGCACCATTGGCGTCTGAGGTCTGGTTCGGTGAGAACGAGTTGTGCCTCATTCCAGTTCATCAAATGCCCCGTGGAGTTTCTGTGGAGGACACAGGCATACCTTACATCGTCTCTGTTAGAGGCATAGTGTTTGCTTACGTGTCTTTCTAAACCAACTGGTATTCCATAACATCAGCTCTTTGTTCATACTTTGCTTTATTACACTGCAGCCCACATCCACTTGAATGAGTGGTATACAATCTGTTCTTTGTATCTTTCTCTACCTGAGGTGTCCCATAGCTTGATTGCTAGCACACTTAGCTCACACCCTGAGGTCTGAATATCAAATCCTTGGTACAGCTGGAAAACATTAGGACATGTTTCATTAAGACACCTGTTGTCCATGTTCACCCATCAGTATAAAATGGGTACCTGGGTGTTAGTCAACTGGTGTGGGTTGCATCCTGGGACAAAACTGACCTAATTTGCCCAAAATGCTCTGCATAACAAGCGACTTTCTGTATAGTAGTATGTCATTGATGTCAGCTAGGCCTGTATACCTTGTACACCTACCATCCGACTTACGACCTGCTCGTCATACATCCACTCGACTT